TTAGTAATCATAAAAAAATCCTTCTCCGATATCTCTGACTGACTTTGTTCATATACTCACATCATCATTCTGCTGAGACTCCTGCATGACGAACTCTCGTACCATGGAGGGGTTGTACTCCACCAGATAAGAGAAGATATCTGTGGCTGCCCCACGCACCTGAACGTCATCCATTCCCTGTTTCATCAACATCAAATAGATTAATCAGTGGACTGTCAATCTCCCATCAGAGATCATTTAAATCTTGTATTATGTTAACAACAAAACAGAAACAAAAGTGATCATCAAAAACAGACTCAACAGCATTTCATTTCACCAACATGTATTGTTTTATTTCTTCTTAGTTTACTTCAGAAGGGTGTAAGTGGACAAGGAGGGAGGAAGCGGGTATTACTCTAACAAACGGTTTAGGTCTACATGTGTTACATGCAACAAGAAAACATATCTCAACATATGAGCTACTGTTTCAATCTGTTGTATGTATTTGTTTAGATATTTTTCCCTGACCTCCAATGTCCGAGGATCATTCTTTCACACATTTGTATTGCTGGATAATGAGTTGTTCTGTGAACTAGGCCCGAACACAAGAAACAACCCAATGCATGCTCAGAGGCTGCTGGGTAGATGCAGGCGGTGTACTCCCCACCACATACACACACACTGCAGCTTCCATCTTTTATTCTTATTTTTTGCATCTGTAAGGCTAAGGATTTTGGCAAAATCAACATTCTCATCGCATTTACATCGACACATAACTGATCCTTTTTCAAACATTTCAAACAGGATCTCAGTGTGGCCCAGAGTCAGCGTAAGAGTGGATTCTCCTGACAGATAACTCGACCTGGTATGATTAGATGCACCGGTCAATGAGAGTCTAACAAAGCTTGTGAGAGTTTAGCTGTAATACAACTCAAGATGTCCTTGCGGTGTGTGCACAATATCTGGTAGCAAAATAGCATCGTATAGAGCAGATGCACAGTTGCACATCATGCCGACACTCGTAACATCTTCACTGATGACACCGACTGATTTGTGTTAAGCTTGCTGCACTCACCAGTATGACCTCTAGTGCCGGTAGAATGCCCATGTTTGACAATGTCTTGAAGAAGGCGTCTCTGTTTTGAGGTTGTAACGTTTGTGAGAATGCGCAAAATTCCTTTAGGAAGTTCACCTGTAAGGAAGAAACAAACCACCGCTCAGTGAAACAAGGGAAAAGGATAAAAAAAAAAATAGAACAGTAATTTATGAATAATTACTGATGAAGGTCTGGCATACCAGTTCGTGTCTTTTGTCATCATCTGTAGCTTCATCTGTTAGCTGTGCAAAGAGGTCTGTCAGGAACTTCTCGTCATCCTGACGTCGAAAAAGGGATAAGAAGTGGTGAGTATCACAGAGTGTGTCAACAAATCACAATATGGAAACATCACCCTTTACCCTCACACTCATCCTGGGCCAATTGTGCACTCTGTTAAATCTGTCATTACAAAGTTGTTGTTAATGTACAATGGTATGTGTCAGATACAAATTACCAGGAAATAACATCAACCATATTTAATGTGACTGACTTTGAAGTTATAGTGCAGTATAAGTTGTCTTTATAACCATCATAGTAGAGACATGTATATTCTGTTCACTGTTATTTATAACTATTAGTTTACATTGAAGGAAATCTGCTGCATATAAAAAGTTTTCAGAACTACCACATAACATTTGTGTGGACTTCCTGAAGGGTTTTGTACTTTAGATGTCTCACACCGACTACTCAGTTCTGCAATAATATCTGCAATCCAGAATATCAAGTGCTTGTTGAAATAAATTAAACACCTGGTCTGTTCATGTTACAAGACAGGAAGAAGAAAAGCTCCGTATCAGTAGTGTTTGACCTCAAAACTTCACAAAGCACCGTGTACCAGAGTCAACAGCGTGGCAGTTTGTTTTCCTCTAGTGCAGGATAACTGATTTACACAACACTTCCCCATCTCTATGGAGACAGCCATACACAAACACTGCTGAGTTGACACAGTACAAAAACACAAAGGTCACATGACCATAAAAGACTAGCAGACAAACTCACACTGGTGGGTGAAGCTAAATCAGCCTAAATTAAAACCTTTGAACGATCCTACAATTACTGTAATTTCCAGTCCTCGGGCATAAACGCTATTTAAAAAAAATATTCTTTCATTTTTGCCTTTTGATGTTTTGCAGGATTGTCATTCTGTAAAGGTCGTACAGTAAATGCTTTTGTATCATTTGCTTTTGCAGTGAAAGCATTTTAAAGGGAACATGTTGTGCACACGCATCTCACCTGTAGCATGCCCACAATCTCCACCTTGTTGAAGAAGATGAAGGAGTGCAGGGTGGACAGCATGTTTTCCTCAAAAACAGAGGGCGTGGGCAGCACCATGTCCTGAATATACTGCACCCGATACGTCTGGTGTATTTTCTGACGCAGTTCAGGATCAGAGATGGGGATCACCTCCTTAAAGCGGGCCGTCTTAGTTAGAAACTCCCGATGCCGCCGTGGCTGCGCAAGTGCCGGATCAAACTCCAGACAACCAATGACGTCCATGATGCACTCCTCAGAGAACATAACCTCAAAGAGTGCCGTACGATTCAGCAGGAAGATGCCTTTAATGATTTCGTACAGGTGATGCAGTCCCTCTCTGTTCTCCAAATCCTCACACACACGGAACATTTCCAGGAGCTTGCGAATGTAGCCCTCGTTCTCCACAGCTAGTGCCAGTTTTTCGCGCCGCAGTGGTGATGGGAGTGAGGAGGCCACCAGCTCAGCCAGGTCCTCCAAGCGGTTCAGTTCACATGGCGGTAACTCCAGACCCGGCGAGGACATGTCATCAAAGCGTTCCTCCTCAGACTCGTCGACCACATCCTGGGTTATGTCCACTGATGGGTCCTTTCCCTGAACCTTAACCATGAGACAAACATACGATTAAATAGGATGCGACTAGTTACAGAAACCAAAACACACTTGAATTCAAACGCATACACAGACGGAGCAGACAAACACACACCCACACACAAAGAAAGTGCAGCTACCTGGCATATTTTCTCCCAGATTTCATCACAGCCAGCCTTCTCCTGGAAGCTGAGTGCCAGATCATAATTCTCTGCCTCTGACCATACTATCAAAGTATCCTTTCCAAAAAGAAAAACAAAGCCAATTTAGAATCGTTACACAGAGAAAGAAATCCATATTCTAGATGAGCATACTGCACCATGCTATGTACTGACCTGTTGTTTCTGGTAGGCTGTGTTTGGATTGATTTTGGACTCCAGCAGTAGAGAACCTGTCAGGTGAAAAACAAAGGTGTTGTCAAAAAGACATGAGGGTAGGTTAGGATCTTATTAAGTTATATATCATAAAGGAGGTTTACATGCATGGTTCCAGCTGATCAAAATAAGTGTGTGTAAGGTATTGTTTACATATAATAAGTATGGAGCTACTATACAATTGTCCAATACACAGCAAGTGATCTGTAACTTGCCATACGCCATTCATCTTGCCTTAGATCGTTGCTTCGCCTTACCATCACTCTCTGCTCGCACCAGTAGAGACGTGCCTTTCAAACGCTCCACATAGCCCGAGGAGACGTGGCCGGTTCCACGGTCGTCCCACTGTCTGTCCTCATTGAGGGTATAGACTTTGACTCGTCGACGAGTGTCCGTCATCCTGGCAGGTAGTTGTGACCGGTTTCCCCTTTCCGGACCTTCTTGACTCTTACAGGGCGTCTGCTTCACCTCGTAACTCCACAACTTCAATTCACTTCTCTACACCTGATCACTTGTAACTACTAACACTACTAACGTTAACTCAGCTAACTTAACGTTAAGTGTCAGATGTCAACCAAGCAATCAGTTATTTGAAGGAGCTTAAAAGCAGAACACCCAGGCTAGTATACAGGTAGATTCCCTGATCGATTCTGCATCAACCACAATATCGGTTTATTTTCACGAGCAGCCTCTAAACTTATCTCGCCAGTGTTGAAGACAACGTCTCGCGGACCATTGTAACAAGCTAACGACAGTTTACAGTGCGGAGGGCATTGACGTTAGCTAACGTGTTAGTCGACTAAACGAGGGCAGACAGACATTGGAAAGTCCTAGCACACAGTTGAAAGAAGAGTATTTACATCAAGCCCCACCGTTACGATATGTTGCCCCCAAAACAAACTACCTGCTTATTAGTACAGTTTCTACGCTTGCGGGCAACGTTAGCCAGTTACGTTAGCTAGAAAACCTAACGAGTTAACTAGCTAGCAGTACGCTATGTACCTACCCTCCATATATTCAATGTTAAACAACTATTGAAAGCAAAATGTCCAGTGCTGTGCACCGATAGCATTATTTCGCACTTGCGGACCGAAGATACCGTGTTTACCCCACACCAATGTTTCTAATTATGTCTGAGTAATACGCCAGCTAGCTAGTGTTAGCTGCTATTTCTTCCCCAAGTGTTCCGCCATGTTCTGGCTCGGGGCCGCGGAGAGACCACTATCTCCTCAGTGGTATTCATGCATCCCAAAAAGTATGCAAACCAACAAACGGTAGTCGTATAATTATTTGAGGGTAACGCTTTACATTATAATGCTATATGCCATTCATTTCCGACGTCTTGCTCAGATAATTGCTAACTGCCCCCCCCGTGAGTATTCAGCCATCTTGGGTCCCTTCAGAGTCAGTACGGGGTTTCCAGCACAGCAACAACGGGGCAGTCCGCCACATTTAAAGAGACAGTAACTCAATTCCATTTCTAATGACTCGAAAGGCTCCAAGAATATCCAACACGATCTGCTCTTTACCTTTCATATAATTTACCATGCAGCCACTCATCATATTCAATCAGTAGTGGAGCCATTTGACATATAAATTGATCCACATGTAGATCCTTCTCAACCTGTAATTTCTATACTGAGACTCTGAATAAACAATGTATTCCTCACTGTGCGAACGGTTGTATTGAAATTCCAGAGGGCAGACAATTCAGAAAACAATAGTTTATTTTGTTGAAATCAAAGAATACAGAAAGTGGAGAGTTGAAATCAGATACTACGCAAAACAAAATGTAAAAAACATTTTACATTATGATGGTAGGATATAGTGGCAACAGAATAGATAAAATATGGAAAATAAATCTTCTGGGATCGGTTAGTCAGTCTGCAGGCATTTAGGTCATTCAAAAATTAAGCATCTGCATTCAAAATCCACAGCATGTTCAAATCCAACTGCAAAGTAAATGTAAAAAAAGCCACATAACTTTTAGGAAAACTGAAAGCACACTACTGAACATTTAACAAAAAAACATTTTTACCAAGCCCGTGGAGCATTTCGCCAAGCACGAATCCCTCTCAGTCAATGTGTTATGTCTTGCAGCTATGCATGCTGCAGATCACGACTCTATTTCCACATAAAGCCTCACATTTCTTTTCCCATGTACAGTATATGTAAACCCTCCCCATGTCAAACTGACAACGGTGTCCGTATACAAAGATCTTCCAGATGCTGTGGCAAAACGGTGCAGTATAAACTCCTTCCAAGTGTAGCCGGACAACTCCACACTGATGCCTTTACTTTGCTGCCTGCTGAGCCTGACGTCGCAGAAGGACATATATCTTCTCCTTGATCCAGTCTTTGTTGTACGGTTGGTATGTTTGAGTGTCAGCTCTGTACCTGTACACAAATAATGATATTTTTACTTGAAGTAATCAATATACACTCAATGGCTTTCATTCAAATTGATAAGCTAAAATCATACTTACACAAGACAGCTCAGATCTGCCAAGTCGTCAATAAAGTCAAACAACTGACTGATGTCATAAGTGATGGAGGGACTGTTTGGATTCATCCTCTTAAGATGCTCTTCATACATTTTGCAAACACCTAGAAGAAAGGTGCAAGGCATGCTGAATGGAAGCAAAGCTATTTCCAAAAGTGTGCATCAAAAGAAAAAAAAAGGCTAAAATGCTACACGTAATAATAAACTTCATTTAACAATGTCAAATTGTTCATTCAAGAGACTGAAAAGCAGAAAAAATATTTTAAAACTATTAATGAAATATAGGTTCAACTCCAGTGTATTGTTAATTAAAACATGTACAGTACACTTACCATTCAATAACCAAGAAATGACAATAAATGTAAAAACATATGAACTTTTACTATTTTAATACAGATTTTAATACCGATTAAATGCATTCACGCTGCATCCAACAGATCCTAAACTATAATGATGAAAGGGAGCCAAATTAAATTATTTAATTGGCCTCAATGAGGAATATTATTTAAATGTAATGTTCCTAATGGTGCTAACAGAATATGGGTTTAGACTACAATGAATGAACCAAAGGTAAAGACAGCACCGTGTTTTGTTAGTGAACACTTACCTTCCATACATTCATTCACTGACTCATAGTCAGCATAAGTGCGGCCCTCGGGTCTCTTGGTGGGTTGGACAAGCAAAATTGTGTGCGACTGTAAAGATGATTAATAACATTAAATACACAATAATGTCAGCTCATTATATTTCTCCACACCACCTAAATTATTGAGGCGCAGCTATATATTTTGCTCTGATTCAACACGAGGAACCTTCTCAAACAGGAGAGGGACGTTGTCTGTCTGACTGCAACTTCGACGCAATAACTGACGGTCATCTTTGACTAAATACCCCGCACACATTACTTCATCCACATTCAGGTTAACAAACGGAAATTACTAAATTAAATTAAGCATTAAAATACGTGTTAACAGCAACAGAAGAAATTCGACAAGAGTTAACGTTACCCATGTAGCGTTAGCTTAGCTAGCTATGATGGATTAACAGTTAATAGAAATACTACCGCGTATTTTCACCTCTTAAAGCGTAAAACAGAATACTCTTACCATGTTCAGGCTGACTGCAGACCCTGTCTGTATAAAGGACATGCAAAACTGAAAAAACACAGTGTTTAATGCTTCTCAATTCTCCGTGTAATCTAGCTAAACTAGCTGTTTGGGGGAAAATATTCAGAGGAAATGAATTAAGATATTTCCGGTCGAGAACTGAGGTGCGTTCAAGATAAAGTTTTAGTTTCAAAATAAAAGTCTGACTTTAAAAATACAGAATCAATGTGACTTTTCATAATGATTATTAATGTATTTGGTGGGAAAAGCATATATATCTTTTACTAGGTAAAAGTTTCAATTCCATAAAGGGAAATACTCAATTACAAGTAAAAGTCTTTCATTAAAATCTTATTTAGGCCTTCTTAATGATTGGCAAAAGTATTCCATATATTATATTGGATATTTTATTAGTGGATTATTATTATTGATGCATCAAGGTGTAGTATTTCAGTATTGTAGCTGGCCGATGCTGTTGTTTAGTAGTGTTAAGCAGAAGTATAAAAGAAAGGAAAAAACGACTGTATTTAACCACAGTGCTTGAGTAAATGTAGCATGTTATATGATCACACCATTGTATTTTGCTTTGTAAAAACTGACAGTTTATTAAAAAGATGGTCAATTTAAAGTGCATTTTTAGAGACATTTCAAGAGGTGGAGACAAGAGAAAACCAATTTGTTTTTTATGGTTTATGATTTGATTTATAATCACAATGACATTATTTTATTGTAGTCCTCATCTAAACGGCAAAATATACCAAGCATCACAAACAAAATACAAAGCTTAAAACGATAACAAAATCAGAACCATGTCCTGGGTTCATGTTAGTTATAATGTGAGACAATCTAGATAATTTAATGTAACATCTGATGTTTAAATGAAAGGTAGGATGTGGTAAGTTTTAGAATACATGTTTGTGAATGTCATACATGTAAATATCCAGTGATTAGCTTCATAGAGGCGGGACTCTGGTTAACCCATGATTTGGAGGTATTATTGGTGAGCATGGTCATGCCCTTGCCTTCAAAGCACCGCTTTGTGCCCCTCTCCTTGGGGTCCCTCTGCGAGATGCAGGTGGGGGCTCCGTCATCACCACATCCCCACACTCTCTCTGGCATGCTTCCAGGGTCACAAAGTTATTAGCATTGCCCTGGCAGCTTCCATACCAGAACGCAGTACATTTGCCTGTGCCAGAGTCAAAGTAGAAGCGGACCTCCCAAGTATCGCAGGGGCCCTCATCACGAGGCATGGAGCACACATTACCAGAGGGTTGAGGGGCAGAAGGTGGTGTGTGTTGCTTAGGGAAAAGGGCAGAGAGAGAGAGATAAATTGTACTGTATAGCCAGTAAATTTACATATATACTGTATGTGTGTGTTGGTGTGAGTAGCAGGGACTATATAGGGTCAGTTCTTGTTTAAAAATGATGTACAGTGATATGATTAAAATCATGAATTTCAAAACTTGCAACAGATGCCAACATATTCAGATCCATATCACTAGACCCTCCCTGCCTAGTGAACGCCTACATGTTTCAAACTCAAAACTCTCTATTTGAAGCTCAGGCGTTCTGTCATGAATGTATAATGGCTTTCTCAGACTTGCCAAAGCCTCTCCAGAGCCAAAGAATACCCTACTGATAATGAGTAGGACTTTCCATAAAGAGTAAACTTTTAATTTGTAAAATCATTGAGGTGTCCCTTTAATAGATCTACATTATCACAGATGTGATTCCTACCACAGCTGTCAGATACTCGGGACATCCAGCCCTTCCAAATCCTTGTGCTGGAGTCACCCCATCCAAACAACAGCCGTACCTGGGAAGAGAGGTTTTTTTATGTTGGACACATTTTCTATTGAGCCACCATGCCATTCATCATTTTCATTTATGTCATATATTGTTTTAAAGAGTCGGATGCAGGAAGCAGTGATACCTAGTGCGAATACAGTCGTCTTGGGAGCAGCCCACGTTCCTTGGCCCCGTGGCAGAGGTGTGCCCATCGGGACAGCAGCCATATAACGACTGTGCACAGTAAGGACCAATCACAGGAGGGTAGGCAATGTTTGTCTGTGGCCTGGAAGCTAAAGTAAGCAAACACATATGCAGAAATGGTCAAACAAGCTTACTGCACATGCCATAGACCTGTGAAAAAACTTAGTTTTTTTTGAAGGTTTAGGATTAAATTTGTCAGTACTTAATTTAACAGGGGTATTTTTTTAGAATGTACTTGAATGCATTCATTTAAAATATTCTCTGTGCATCTTTTTTACTGCGCTACACATATAAAATAATTGCATGTAATTAAAACATGCACAGAAAAGAGAATAGCCTTCAAACAAAATGTCCTCCACATGCTCTACATACCTGAAGGGTCTTCTGGAACATGGGGAACAAATCCTCTCATGGTGCTCTCATGTGCCCTTGGGTCCTGTAAACTTGGGACCACTAAATGTAAAGTACATTGGTTAAACACAAACAAGCACAGATAATCAAACCAAAGGAGTTGATTGGCTCAGATTTGGCTCACTTTGTGCCCTGGGACAGGGCTGTGAGTTGCATGTTTCCACAGAGAGAGGTTTGGTAGCTGTTCCACACTGGGCCTCTGGGTAGGGGTTCAAATCCGTAGCAAAACAGCCCACTCTCCTCTCCCTCACACCACCACTGCAGCTCCTGGTGCACTGCAGAGACAAGACATAAGAGGGTAAATAATGTGGAGAGAAAGGAAAGACAAAAGCTTTCTTCCCAGTCCACCTACTCCAACACTTTTCTTTTGTTTTGTTCAATTCCACCTACCAGTCCGTAGTCAGTCACATGCCAGGTGATGTGTGTGTAACAGGCAGGTCTGCGGCAGGCCTGGACAGAAGGGGGTCTTGCCAGTCCACTACAGGCATGGTCAGCCACACGTTCACCTCTCGACCCCACACAGTTCACCTCCCTCGTCTGCTGGCCTTCCCCACAAGTCACCGAGCACTGACCAGCAAAAGTGAACATTGAGTTATACACTTATGTTGTATTTTCCCTTGTGGTTTAAAGGATACATTTTTGCTGAGTCTATTTCTGTTAGGTCTTTAACTTCTTCCTATTCTGTAGCCAGAAACAGTATGTCATTGCCTGTCTGTGTGATGGTCAAACATGTGAGATACATACCACACTGAAGCTGGAGACACTGTACTCAGCAGCACATGGATTCATGTTGCAGGCCTGCTGGCTGTGTGGCCTCTGCAGGCGCTGGGTGATGCAGTGAGACTCTTCCACCACATGGGGGTTCGCTGGGTCCTGAACCCAACACTCCAAGCTGCGATACTGCATGCCTCCATCGCAGGAGGCAGAGCACTGGCCATAGACACCGGTTTTGTAGATGTATGTGAGTGTCTCCCGTGGATAAGGAGCAACAGCAACGACAGCAGCAGAGTGTATGGAATTAGCGTCTTCATCCAAGCCCATAAAATCTCCATGGACCAGTATCTGGAGAGAGAGAGATAGAAATTATTGTCGATTACACTACTGCAACTATGAATATAAATAATAGCTACTAATTTGGAAAAATAGACAATGATATTTTACAGATAAAAAAGTACGAATAAGAGTTCTGAAAGTTTTTCATAATATTATGGATCCCAGTTTTGTTCCCACCCTGCAGATGCCGTCCACACAGATGTCAGTGCGGCCCACATAGCATGGTGTCCCATCCACCACTGCAGGTCTGTGTCTGTAGAAGAAGTTCTCTCCTCTTGGGACACAGCTCAATTCACATGTATTGGATGCTACAGAAACAAATAACATATAGATCAAGAGATCAAAATATCTCCACTATCCTGTAGTATGGTTTGACTGCGATGAACCAGGGTTTTTTCTATACACTGTAACGCAATACAGAGAGTTAGAGAAAGAAGACAATCAAAGTAACGTTACTTACTGTAATGCGCCTCACTATTTATGTATATTGTGTAAAGGTAATTCTTATAATTAACAACTTGTAAACCCATGTCTGGTTATCTTAGCAGGTTACATATAACACCAATCATTTTTTTAAAGTATCATTTCATAGACTCAGGTGGATGTTTGATACCTCCATAAAAAGGCACCCATGTGCGACTTTTGCTCTGAAAGTCCGTTCTGTCAAACTGGGAGCACTGCTCCTCCCTGAAGTCCCGGGATCCAACTGGACATTCCTGCCATTAAAACAAAATGATGGACTGTTGGCATATTTTAGGAAACATTAGTGTCGGTTATGGATGGGTGGAATTTATTAAGAGGCCAAAAAATAGGATGATTACTTGTGTATTACAGGTCCGGAAGGACTTAGAGGAGCCGATGCAGTTATGTCCTCCATCTGTCCTGTAAGGGAGAGGAAAGAATGTTATTCACTTGCATCTCTCTTTCTTGTTGAATGCATTTGGCTTTATTTATGCAGATCATACTTTATAAATGATGATGTTATTATGATGTTTAATAAAGAATAAATATGAAAATATAAAGGCAATGCAAAATAAAGAAAAGCGATAGCACAAATAAAACATATAAGTATTGTGCTACTTTTTTTACAAATCAAAATCGGGCCTCTCGTTGCAAAATATTCAATAGATGAGACATCCCATCACCCTATGTCTCTATGTCCCACCTCGAAGTGATACATTTCCTGGTTCTCATTGCCACTCCCGTGCCACAGGTGCGGCTGCAGGGCCCACAGGCTCCAAACTCTCCCCAGTTGTCATGGGTTGGCCGTGTCAGCTGAAAAAGAAAACAACTCAGCCTCTGGAACACATAGTGCTCTCTCACACGCCATATCATAGCCCACCACGAACCACTAACACACACTAACAGCACACTGGAGACACCGAAATAGAAACTGGGACATTTAGCCACAAACCTTCCCCTCGACGTTACATAAACCCTCTTTATGGCACACAAACAGCATCAATGCTGACACATGTGTCAGAGAGTATACATTTCTGGAGAGGGGGTTGTTGAGATTTTGGACAAACTGCTAAGAGTTCTTTGCAATTTCCATCTGTACCAAAGTACTTATTCATGACATTAGCATTCAAATGGTATAACATTAATATTGTTAAAGCTGGTACTCACAGTGAAAGCAGGTACAGCCAGCAGCTGCAGGAGACCCAGGACTTGCAAGATGTTCATTTTCTAAAGAAGCTACTGCACAACTACTGACGAGGATGGCAAAAAAAACAACCTAAATTGTAATTGCAAGTACTTCTCACCATAAAGGACATTCCATATGTATATCAGATGCACATATCAATTTCTTGATATGCTTGGTGATTTGTTTCGCATGCATTCAATGTCCTATTTTGTCTTACCTTCTTGAAGTGATTTCCCAGCCGTCCAGAGGCATGTGCTCCTCAGTAGTGAAGGTAGGCACTGACGCCCAGCTTTTTATCTCCTCACCCTCTCGACTCACTCACACCACAGCCCACAAAGTGTCAGGTTTCAGTGATATCTTTAATTTGGAACGGAGGTTTTCCAGTCAAGACCCTCAGGCCGTGAGACAACTTGTGTTGTAGTTTTATATCAAATATTTTCACCATGTGTTTTAGTTAAAGAAATAATGGTTTGTAAATGAATCACTTAGACAACTAATAAGTTACTTCAATGAGGAAGAAGTTCATAATTATGATCAAATATTTGTTAACATCTCCACTATTAACAGTAAAACATCTTAGGAGGAAGATGTTGGTGTATCTTGATGCTCACATGTGATGAAACATTTTATTGAATGCAAAGAAAATTGTATGTTCTTACAAATCCTATGAGACCCAATACAAGATCACAGCCTACTCCCAGCTAGTTGATCTAAATATGACCCTAAGTGCTCTCCATTGTGTCTGAAATGTCAAAATAGCCGTGGTTCATATAACATATTATGTGGTCATGCCCTAAAACTGTAACTTTTTTGCCATCAGTCCAAAGAGAGATTAAGAAAGTGTTTAGGATAGATATACCTCTAAATCCACATTATTCTGTTCTGGGATTAGACTCTAATAATGAACGTAGCCACAGACACATTCTTAGAAACGCTTTGTGTGCTGGACGCTCAATGTTACAAAAATGGTGAGATGAAGAGCCACCTGAAATTTTAGCGGGGTATGAAAAACACCACATGTGTCCAGAGGTACTCATTGTTTGTCCCAATACAAAAGAAGAAGATAATCTTATGGTACACATTTAATGTGCACCATAAACCCACCAAAGTGAGATTGAGGGTAAAAGAGATCTTGAAGTTACCAGTGTTGATTGATTTTTTTTTTTCAAAATTGTTGGCCACTGATTGTCCCTTTCACACATGCCATAACCACTAAATACAGACCAGTAAGTCACAGCAAAGGAGCTAGTTGGAGGTAAAAATTGCTCTTAGGCTCTATTTAGATGTGCTTTAGTGAGCCTGGATGGGAATAGAATATGGAAGATATACCAAAAGACCATGAAAAGCAACGTTCATGTGCCGCAATTGCTGTAGGAGCCATCCAGGCTGACGGGAGTAAGAACATATATACTTTAGTCAAGACCCATGGTGGTGGGAAATGATAGATGTGATGTGTGTGCGTGTGTGTGTGTGCGTTCTTTAGTGGGTGGGCAGGAAAAAAAGAAAGACTGCAGAAGTCATAGTAAATAGTTTGTTGACATGCACAGGCCTGTCATAACTTGTGTTAATGACAGAAGCTTGATTATATAGTGTGAAAGCGATGCACCAAATTGTACCCTTGTTAAGCTTATAATGTTCAAGCTTCATTAAAACTACGACAGAAAGGTTTTAATTAAACTTTATGAGTATTATTGAGGCTGTATGCATTTGAACATATTTACTACACCAATAGTAACGATACATAGCCATGCATTTTACAAACTACCTTTCAGTGAATGTGGTTGTCAAATATAGACCTAAAAAGTATCCCTTGCACAACAGAAATGTTATATGTCATTTAAGAATCTCGTTAAAGCCCAGCATCTCACCCCACCTCCATGCCCATCCAAACCAACTTTTGACTCACATCCAAATTCAAAACCACACACTCTAGATTTTTGGCTCCCTCCTCGAGGAGAAACAAAGTCTGTCAGTCACTTTCTTTGCCTCAGAGCTGCCGGTTCAGTTTCTGTGCTTGCATCTCTTTGGCTTCGAAGGCACTCTTGGTGCTGAAGAGGTCTTCCACTGAATCCATGATCTCCTGCATCTCTCTGGACAACTCAGAGTAAACCCCCTTTAGCTCCTCTTGCTGCTGCTTCAGGTCCACCGCCGCATGCATCAGCTCAGTAGCGTGGTGGCTGCAGTGGCCCCGCAGCTGCTCCACGTCCAACAACAGCACCTCCATGCTCTTCATTAGCTGCTCGAGCCGGTCGGCGGTTACCTCGAACTCGGATGAGTCCGGAGTACAGACCTGGGGGTTGTCTGGAGCCTCAGCCTGGGCCTCAGACTCGGTGTCTTCCTTTGACGCCATCCTCCTGTTGTAGCAGCTCTCAGACACTTGATACTCCAGTCAGACTTCAGAGAAACAGATATCTGGAAGAAAAGGGAATAATTTAGCTGGTAGGCAATGACTGTAAAAGGTCAAAAGGTAGAAAGTATTCAAATATTGAGAGAAAAGGCAGAGAAATGTCAAAAATGCAGAGCTGCTCCAACACCTCTTGTTGCTCTTAGCTGACTTTAAGCTCCTTGCAGGGGGTGAAAAACGCACTTCTAACTAATCTCTGGTTGTGCACCTGCTCGTACTGTGTGTGTGTGTGTGTGTGTGTGTGTGTGTGTGTGTGTGTGTGTGTGTATGTGTGTTTGTCTGTCCAGGTGCCCTTTCACTGACATATGCTGTCCTGTAATCCATTTAGGGAAGTTATCCCGAGCAACACACACTACCCAGTCCAGACCATTGCTGGCTGGAGTTGAGCGGCAGGCGGGACATCAGATTACGTGATTCTTCCTCCTATAGCCTATTTACTGCCATGGCTGTCTGAGTAGCGAGATTAACCCTCGTCTTCGTAAACTCATCTGCGGGTGGCCGTGACACGCACACGCACACACACTCATACGCACATTATAATCTCTTTTCTATTCTCTCTTACCCCTCTGTCTTTCTGTCTCCCTTCCCCTCGGGCATTGCTCTAATAATGAACTTGTGTGTTTGGGCCAAACTCTTAAAAATGTGTTGATTAATTACAATAACATCAGTTGGATTAAGTCATGGTTATTTTAAGGACACAAAGCTGATGCCCAGCAGCAGTAAAACAGATTGCTCTAGAATGGCTATTCCACAGTGCTGCTATGTATACAACTCCACGCCTAAAAGATTTCAGTCATGCTCGACACACACACGTTCTTTCTGCTATTTTCTATCAATAGCTGACACATGTTGTTTGAAGGTAAATCAAATGGTCCACTAAATCAAATAAAGTGCAGACTAAGGTTCCGTACAAATATTTACTCTGGATTTACAAGTTTCAGAAAGAAGATTGTGAGATGACGCCCTCTGATGGATTACTGGGTAAAGGACGCTCCATTTAGAAAAAAGAAGAAAAAGAAAGAGGTACAGAATTATCACTGGATAATGAAGTAGTAGTAGTTTAGCCAATGTGGATGTTTAGGAAATATGTGGAATGTGTTATCTAACTTTAAGTAATTTACAGTGAAATTGGTTCAAATTAGTTAAAGTTTGAAAGTTCACCAGCAATTAAACACAAGTTATAAATTACATGAGAGAAATTAGTATTTTTACATTTCAAGTGTCTGTAAATAAAGTGTTTACCGGTTACTGTTATTCACTTAGAAATAGTATGCCGAGGGTGCTTCAAACAATGTTATCGAGGCTCATCTGCCTGAAATTTGAGTAAACTGTACATATGCTCAAAAAATACCACCATAAATAACTGTTTTTTACTTTTTGCAGAAGATATAATTCAAAATATTGAATACAAAGACAGAGTATTAATGAGCATGTTCTCTAACATGTCAAACAGCATATTGCAAAAATACTTCATCAGGCACCTCGAAGAATTAAACAGTGAAATGAGAAAGCGATGACGAAAATCCATGTCTTGCTCTGTTCATTTAACAGAGCAAGTTAAATGAAAAGCTGCAAATACTTGGATTTAGTAAAGTTGTAGACCTACTATTGAACAGAAATACATTTTTTTGCAGGTATAATAAGCATAAAATGAGAAAATAAACTCTTACTTGGTCCTGTGGTTATTTACTGTCAGCATCCAAGATGTTTCAACACCCAGCATGAAGATCAGATAGCGTGTGTGAAGAACGGATCCTGTCGAGAACACAGCGGCTCTGCCCTCCTTACAGCAACTATATTCAATTACTGACCACGATCATGATGTTGCTATTTTAGGCAGACTGCTGCTTATCAGCAGTTCACTCCGAACATTTAGTCGGGTGAGAGGAAGCACCTCTATAATACCTGCGTCCCAAAGGCTTCTTCAGACTTTCTATGATGAACTATTAATCCAATAATGCTTTTTATTTCATATTTCTGACAGGAATTTGCATAATTATTTTAATTGAATTAACAGAGAGAGAGCGAGAGAGAGAGAGAGAGAGAGAGAGAGAGAGAGAGAGAGAGAGAGAGAGAAAACTTTCAGCCTCAAACCAGCATTTCTTTTTCTTTTGATAAAGCTAGGAAATTGGATCCTCTTCCAACTCATAGTTGAGCTTATATCATGTCGTAGCTAAATGTTTAAAATATAAAAGGTCCACTGAGGGGAACATGCTCCAGAAAAAAGGAATATAATCTGTATTGTTTAATTACACATTGAATATGATGGTTTGGAATTTAAATTGATCCCCAATGTAATAGCATTTCAACTCTTTATTCTCTTTGCTCAGTATGTTTTCAAATTCAGTTGTCTGAGACACATCTGCAGACAGGACGTCTGACAGCCCTCATCTCTGATCCTCCATGATGAGAAGTGCTTTAAAGAGATAACTTCAGTATTCATCAAGTATGTCGGAGAACTGAAATGGAATGGGATACAATACGTGCACGCTCACTTCAGCATTTCGAGTCAGCCAGCCCGGTCACTTCGCGCACTCGTAATGCCTGCAGAGAGCTTTGCCACACCATAACCAGCTGAACTATTAATGTGATGCATACACGAGTGTATTTTTCTTGAAATGGTCATGGGAAATT